TAAATAATACAACCATATTAAATACTTTACGCTAATCAAGAAGGGATAAATTTTAAAAAATAATTTAATTATTAAAAAGCATCTTACATTTTAAATTAAAAATTATTTCTAGAAGGTATCTTAAAATAAGACTGGAGGGAGTATTTGGGGCTATGTGAACTTTATTCAAATACTCCATCTAGTTATGTATGAGTAAATTTCAATATGTTTTATTATAATTAAGAAAAATTTTAAGATTCATTAATTTGTCTAAAAATATATTTCCTCTGCTAAAAAATATAAAATATTTTTAATTAAATCTCACCCCTAATAAAATAATTACTTGTCTTTAAATTAACTATATATTTTCATGTTTATCCCTATCTTATAGGGTGTTTCACCCTAAAAAATATAAAATGATCTATTCAACAGGGGCATTTTTGAAAAAAAATGTAATGATTATACTTTAAAAGATTAAAAATATCTTATATTTTTTAACATCTAATTCTTTCAAAAATACTTTATATTTTTTAATAGAGAAAATATTTTTTTTAAAATTTTACCCATGTTAAATATGTATATTGCATACTTTAATTATATAATACTTTCTTTCACAACCATTTAATGGGGATTGGGGACTAAAAGGATAAATCTATGATAAAAAGTCAATACCTCGTCTTGTAAATAAGACAACAAAATTCTTCTCCCAATGTGTTGTGAATACAACAAAGGAGTAATAATTATGCATATATTTTTTTAAGCTTATTTATGAGTCACTTTTAATATATTTAACTAGATTCAGTGAAGATCTTAAGACTTATTAATTTTGTTTAAAAATTTAATAAATTTCAACTTTCCTTTATTAAATGGGGATAAAAGAAGAAATTTGTGATAAAAATTTAATAATATGACTTATAATTAAGACAAAAAATTTTCTCTCTCAGACTTGTAAATATTATATATAGGATGATATGAGCATAATATATAAATTGTAACAAACTACATTGAGAAAATCACATTCAAATCCATGTAAATTATCAAAGAAGATGGAGGAGTGCATAGCTCTGTATCTCATTTGGAATTGAGATTGGAGAAGTAAAAGTAAAAATAAAACTTTGAAATTTACTTATTTGATATGTAAGAACTCAGTTCCATCAAAAATTATGAAACTCACTTCCATCATATTATCATGAGAACGCAGCTCCATCTTTTTCATTGGTAAAATTTTTTTATCTTACTTTTATTATCATACCCAACATATATTTTTTTCTATTTTACATCCATTTCTATTACAACTTTTAGTTTCATCAAAAACTCTTTTCATGTACCAAAGAGGCATAAAAGTTTTGATGTTGGATTCTGATGAGAACGAGCCAATGGAGTGCTGGCTAAGTGAACCAAAGAGTGACTGGACTTGCATATGAAAGCTCCATCATGGAAGTTCGAACAAGTCCCCATTCTCATGCAATTGGTTTTGCTGAAGATGGGGGAGAGAGTGCTGGAAAGAAAATTTGGACTAGGTTTTTTGTTTTCTCCTCTTATCATTTAAGGGGCAATTTTGTTTTTTTATCCATTAAAAATAATTAGAGTTGATAATTTAAACGGGAAAATCTCAAGGCCGTGCTCGGGAACTTAAAAAAAATAATTTAATTAAATCTTATTCAAGTTGTTTAAATAAGTCTGAAGAAATCTGGCTCACTAGGTCCAAACCAAATAACTGAAATCTTTTTATTATAAACAAAATAAAATAAAAAGAAGATAAAAATTAAAAATTTTAATTTTTTAATATAAAAATTGAAATTGACAAAAAATATTTAAAAATTTGGATATCATGATAGTCTAAACAAACTCAAAAGCCTGATGAGTTAGCTATATAGTTTTTTTTAGATTTATTTACATATTTTAAATTTAATTTAAATAAACCCACTAACTTGCCTACTGGCTCTAGAAATAATACTTTGGTTGCTTCAGAATTCTTAGTAATTAAGCAAACTCAAAAGACCCCTCTGAGATTAACTTAGTTGGGTGGGAGTGGATTTTCTAACCACATTTTTGTGAATAAAAAATCTATTAGTTAAGAAATTATAGTTTACTTTTTTTTTTGTTAAAAGAAATTATGACTTACTTAATCTTGACATCATTTTAACATTTTATTTTTTTGTACTTTTTTTTTTAATAGTCCTACTTTGCTTTACAAAAGGTAAAGTCACTTTCAGTACGTCGCAAAAAAGAAGATGATATTATGGTTATGGATGTGATGTCCTGCTTTTCTGTTTTGTTAAATTTGGATTATGGGGGTACCTTGTCTTTTGCTTCGAAGGATTCGCCACGTGGCATCCGACTTGATCTATTCCATAAAGTACGCTCTCGTCATTCTTCTGTCCAATCACCAATTTTCACCTCCACTTATGTGTTGTCAAAATCACATTTACAAATTTCATCTTTATGTGTGTCACTGTGTCTATACTACGCTGCTCCCTTGGTTTTTATTTGTTAAAAGAAAAAAAAATTACCCCCTACGTTTAAAAATAAACAATATTTTTTAAAAAATTAAATATTAAAAAATATAAAATATTTTTAATCTTTTAAAATATAATTATTATTTTTTAAAAATATTTCTATTAATAAATTACTTTATATTTATTATAGGGTGTTTAATAAAATACATATGAAAAATTATGGTTAATTTTAAAGTAGGTAACTACTTTATTAGGAGTGATATTCGATTAAAAATGTCTTATATTTTTAAATGAAGGGAATATATCATATGGTTTTAGAAAATTAATTAATTATATTAATTGTATTTAAAAATAAAAGAATTAGATTAAAATATCTTTTATTAATTATACTAATCAAGTTTTCATTAATTATTTTTTATGATTATAAATAATAAAATTATGAGAGTTAACTTAAACAGTTTGTAATAAATGTTTATTGAAAAATATAATTTTATTTATATAAAAAAATGAGTTAAAAGTAATAGTTTCTTCCGTAAATAAAATAGAGAGAGTACCTCCTGAGGGAAAATGATAATTAGGTGCTCACTGATTCATCAATTACAATTAAAAATTTTAAATTACTGGAATCTTAATGGATCTTGGTTTTTATTTGAAATTTAAAAGTATGAATGGTCTAAAATGCTCTTCAAAAATAATTTTAATAAAATTTTAAATGATTATTATATATTCACAAGTATTCTTAAAAAAATTTAAAAGTAAATTTTCGTTTTATACTAAAATATAATCTATTTCAACTATTATTTTTTAATTTTTTAATTGAGATTAATAATATTTTTATTTTATAATAGCAATTTTAATAATGACATTTTTTTTTATTTTCCAAATGAAAGGTAACATATATAATGAATTAATTATCATTATTGAATTCTAATGACGTAGTTGAGAAAATTTTTTTTTTCATTTTCTTGTAAATAAAAGGCTATGTTATTATTACCTGATTTGAACTTGGCATCCTTTCTTGTCAACTCAAAAAAAAAGGTGAAATTGTGTCTAACAAAAAGAATTAATTTTTCATAATATAATTAATTAAAGTTTAAATTTTTTTAAAAGTTATATTTATATTTTATATTAAATAATATCTTAAATATTATTATTTTTCATAGAAAGATACATGCGTGTGGTAAAAAAAAAAGAAAAAACTCACATAAGATTCCTGCATTCTATTTGAGTACAATCCACGAAAAAGAAGTCAGTATTGACTTATAGCATGCTAATCAATTCACATAGCCACATGGGCTTTAATGGCTTTTTAAGATGTCTCTGTCTCATTTAAATCAGTTTATGCAAAAGCCAAAAGATTGGCTTGTAAACATCCTTGCTGAACTTGAGCCCCTCCATAATTCCTACAGGACTACAAGCCTAGTTCCTACAAGGCTCTAGTAGGCACACATCATAGTTTCTTAATGAAATCCTCTAACCTTGTTGCCATTTTTCATTTCTCATGAGACTACACAGGCTACTTCTCCTCTCTGATTCATTGATAAATCTGCATCTAGATAAAATCCATACAACTTAATGAGGTACTCCCTCAAGTTACTTCTATATGCTATCCTCTACAAAAATTTAAAGTGAGTTATTAATTTTTTTTTCAAATACTATCCCTATTAGTCTATTACAATTTACTAGGAGACTTCAAAAATGATATAGTGTTTATCTATGCTCTTAATTAGAAGTAAAAGTTGCAAAAAATTTTCATTTAAAAGTTAATGAGGTAACTACCTCTTTATTTTGATAAGATAAATAGAAATAACTTATAATACAACATAGGTTGAATTTAGAGAAAAAAGTTAATCCCTCACAACATAATAAACTAAAATTTAAGTTTCTATTGAAATATATGCTTATATTTAGTGTCAGACTATACTTCGAACAAAAGTTCCATCAGTAAAAGAATACCTATACATAATAAAAAAAAAAAGTATCTACTTATATTTTAAACCTGTTTGCACTATCCTAAAGGATCTTTACATACTCCTTCTAGTCCTATATATAAGATATAGAGAGAAAAAAAAATTTTTATTCTATTTATAAGTCACTTTATTAATTTTTTTATCATTAATTCCCTTTTTTACCCTCTATTAAAAGTTAATAAGAAAAAAAATGTTATTAAAATATATACGTCTAATATAAGTAAAATTAAAAACTTATTAAATTTTTATACAGAATTAATGATTTTTAATATTTTTCTTAATTTTAATTACATATGTTAAAAATAACTAATAAATAGGGTTAAAGAGTAACTTCCTTTGAGGTTTTCACTTCAGCACTTAAGAAAACCATTTCACCATTCATATTGTCCTTGTCAAGGAAGAGTTTGTTGCCGCTTGATTTCTAGAGGTACTACCAATAGGCATGAGTTTTCATCTTCTTTTTATCATTTCTGTTTTTTGATTTGTTTGTTGCTGCCAGAAAATCCTAGCTTCTTCAAACCTCCAGGTAACAGAATTCAGCAGGCTTTGGTGAGAAATTCATCATGACCGTGAAGTACAATTAAATAAACTCTTGTTAAAATTGTATATCTGTAAATAGTAATGGACATTCTTCCTTTAAAATCATCAGCAATAATTTACAACAGAGGCTACATTTATGGATACAAAAGAATAAAGATACAAAACAACTCCTAAATCAATGTGAAACATCAAAACCACTATCCTTTGGACAGTATCTGCAGAAGAAATCTGGCAACTGAGAGAAAAACTATAAAGTAGCCTCAAGAGTGTGTAAATTTACAAGAAAAAAGAAAAAGGAACTATAAGACACCAAAGAAATTCTCTTATGGTATCTGTGTATCTATGTACTATCAAATTCAGATCTTCTGACGCAAAAATATTTCCGATGGGTGAGAGAGAGAGAGTAGCACAAAAAATGGAAATATGCTAATCTGATCTCCTCCTCCTCCTCTTTTATCTCTCTCTTGCATCAGAAGCACTCTATGAACTTCTATCTTCAGAAGATCCAAATCAATCTGTCATCATCTTGGTGGACCAGCTGGAATGGGATGCATTTCTATATCTCCACCTCCAACCACCCTTGAAGATCCAAGTTTCTCGGCTTCTCTTGAGATTTGGATATCATCGGGGAAGTAATATTGATGAACATACTTCACCGTGAAACGAGGGAGCAACGCCGTGATGATAATTCCAAGCAGACATAGCCAAAAGGATCCAGTGCCTAATGCATGAAAGATGGCCCTGCAAAAGTAATTAGAGATGAAAAAGGTAAGTCTTTTACATACTGAATAGGTTATGGAGGATTGCAGAGACATCTCAACCCTACAATAGACTTTTTTTCATGCTATATCATAAATTTCACAAAAGCTTACACATCTGAAATACAATTACTTAAAGGACAAGGAAAGAACAAGGAACTAAAAAGTCCGTTCGTGTAAAAAGAATGAATTATTATCTGAATGTTTTGGATTACCAGAAAAGTTATTAGGTTCCACTAAATAGCTAAATGCGTTTGTTCATTTTTTAACCGAAGAAAGCATATTTACTATTTAGCATGGAGCAGTCTAGGCATCACGTGTAACGAGTGTTTAATCTAACAGTATATGCCTGAAGTCTTGTAAGAATCAGAAAGATGTCAGGTCTCGCAATGACCTATCAGCTAGAATCAAGGTTTTGCCTCACTGGATACAGAGTCAGAGCGACACAAGTATCAGCCTGACATGAGTAATTAAATTCCATGGTTAAACAGGACACAACAAGCACAATAATTGAAAATGATTTATGCAACTAACTCTTAACTAACTTTGCAAGTTACTATGCTAAGTTTAGCACTCAGTCCAGTCGTATTTTGGACCGAGTCTCAAGTTTCTCCTTATCCTAAATTCATTCTCATTTAGGTTCCATGTATTTCAAAATGCATCTAAGCATAGATAATATGGTTCACTAAGTTGGATGAATTTCCAAGTATGAAGAACAAAAATGAGAATAAAAAAGGTGGAGGACTAAGAATGGATTTGACTTCAAATACTCGTGCACCGAGGTATTTGTATATACAAAACAAAGGTCATAAGAAGAAAGAGAGAATGCATACCAGTAACCAGGCAATGTAGGAATAGCATCAATGACCAAGACACAGATGAAAGTTGCAACTATAGACCCCCAAATGGAAGCATGAGTAATCCAATTCCACCTGATAACATCCATGGCCAGGTGTATATTAACTACAATAACCACTGCGAGAGTCCAAAGATCTCCGATGCTTGCTACATCAATAGTGCTTCCCCAGTATGCGAAGAAAGCACCAAAGAAGATCACAATGCTTTGCCACAATGTATCAACCATTGTAAACCAAAATAATTTTTTGTTGTATGCCTTGTGTCTCTGTCCGACCCCATAAAGTTGAGGATGGTTTATAAGAGTCCTTTTACTAAGGTCTTTGTCAAGAATACCAACAACAATGGTTGGCAATGAAGTGTAAATGATTGAGTATAAAACACTGCTCCATTCGTTTATAGCTGTCGTCAAAGTGAAGGCGGTGAAGAGCACATACCTGGAGAACACCACAAGAAAGTATTATGTTAGAATCTGCAGCCATGCACCCAGATCATTCTAAAATGCTTGTGATGCATCCAATTTGAATTTGCATGACAATCGCTCGCACACATGCACACACACACGTCTTCCAAATTAGTTACTCACCAAAATAGGACCAGAACAAGGACAGCATTTCTGTAAAAATTGTATAGTATCATATAACCCAGACGTTGGTAATTCCAGTGTCCATGCACCAATAATAGTGGAACTAAAAACCTAAACTGCCCCATCGCAAAATCAGACGCCATTACAGCTTGTCGACCCTCCTGTCCACTGATGCCAACTCCAACATCAGCCATTTGGATCATTGAGACGTCATTAGCACCTGTAACACAATGAATTTACGATTTTAGAATCTCAGGCTCCTCTGTTGAAAGGGATTGAAACTCTGAAACAAGTCAACAGGAGAATTCATACCATCTCCAACGGCTAGTGTCATGTCAGACGTCCTGTTCTTCACAAGGGAAACAATCCCAGCCTTTTGCAATGGAGCCACTCGACAACAGAGAACCACCGAACATTTTCTTGCTAGTTGAAAGAGCTGGAACAATAGCAGCAGGTGGAATTAGGACAAACGACATCAGCTAGCATGTTGTAAACATAATCCAAGATTTAACACCACTAACCTGTTCTTCAAGTTCACTATCAAGAACATGTACAAGGCTGGTACCATCAATGATCAAGGCCAATGGAATTTTCGGAGTGTAAGAACTTTCAGTGTCATTGGTAAGACCAGAAGCAGTGATGAGTTTTTCGGACATGACAAGGGCATCTTGTAAACTCCTTCTACAGGACTCTTTATTGTTGCTATTAATTATAATCTGAGTCATGTCACTTGTTAGGAGCTTTGAGGAGTAGCCAATTGAAATAGCAGTTTCCTGTTTGTCCCCAGTCAATACCCATACCTGAATACCTGCAGTCCTGAGAGACTCAATGGATTCTGGCACCCCTTTCTGCAATTTATCTTCAATAGCAGATGCACCTAATATGCAGAGGTTGTTTTCAATATTGCTAGCAACCTTACGAAGTAAACTAGCCCGACCCATCAGAGCAGAGCTTGCTGTCTCAAAGGCATGGTGCCACTGCTCAAATTCTGAAGAATTCAGTTCCCTCATTCCAATGACAAGAGTCCTCAACCCCAGAGAAGAGTAAGAGTGAAGATGGCTTTCAGTTGCACGTATCATGTCCATGTTTGATGACTTGTCTATGACACTTAGCATGGATATATCAGCACCCTTGACCAAAAGTTTCACGGAATTGTCAGGATACCCCAATATGACTGACATTCTCTTCCTATCACTATCAAATTCATGAATGCCCAAGACATTGAACCTGCACTAACCATAAGGAGAAACTTCACGAAAAGGTAAACAACCATGAAACATCGCTAAAAAGTAAACAACCATGAAAACTTTATAAGCACTATATCACAAGAGAGCAAAAGATAACAATTGCCACCAATAATTATACAAGACAAAAGCACATGAAAATTTATCATAGACAACTGAAGTACATGCATAGCATAAATACGAAGTAAACATCAAAGAAAAATTGCAGGAAGCATTTCCACAAGTAACTAATAATGGTTATCATTTGAAATACAAATTTGGTTAGTTAGAGTAGACTGTATGAAGAAGAAAGAAATACAAAATTAACAATTGAACTTACCTTTGTTTCACTCCCTGTATATCAATAACTATGTGGCCTGAGGTCCGTTCTATAAGCGTATAACCATAGGCAGCAGCTGCATATGCCAGTGCTTGTTCATCTGGCGACTCGCCTTGATAATCAATCAACTTGACTTTAGGATCAGATGTGTCAACATGAAGAGGAACAATGGTATTGCAGGCTGCCAATGCTAGGAAGAAGTCATGAATTCGTTTTCCTTTGTTATTTTCGAGTCTACTTCTTGATAACTGCAAAAGTTCTGGATTGACTTTCACTTTCATCTTGGGCCTCAACACTGCTCCATTCACTAATAACAAACAGAAAATAGTACGTTCATTACTTTACAAATAAGATCAGATGCATTAAAGGAATTGCTAAAAAACACTATTAAAACAAACTATTTAATGTGAAGGAGAAATTGTACCTTCAACAGAGTATTCAACTTGCTCATTCTCCTGACTGTCATTTGTTTTACTGTAATCAACACCCCAGATGCTCGCATATTGAAACTCCATCTTGTTCTCAGTAAGTGTGCCAGTCTTGTCCGAGAAAACATATTTGATTTGCCCCAAATCTTCATTAATATTTAAAGCCCTGCACTGAAATCTAGAATCTGATGCCTCATCATACATTCTGTTGTCTCGGATCATGAAGTAGGCCTGGCCAACACGGACAAGCTCCATCGAAATGTACAAGGATATGGGGATCATGACCTGGAACACTATAATAGACATGAGGAATGTGAAAACAATTTCCAATCCCCATCCATAATACTTGTAGCTCTTGGCTTCTCCGTCTTCAAAGTACAGCTTCCGATAATAAGGCAACATATTTAACTCATCCTTGTGGCGCTTTAACCAAACAGCAGCACAAACAGAGGTGACTGTACACAAAGCTACAAGAAAGAAAGAGAGAATGATAATCTCGAAGTTCATTCGGGTCTCCAGCCGGCTCCTCTTCGACGGAGCTCCTGAGCTGTTAAGCATAACTTTGGTCTCACTGCCGCAGTATGCAGCAACACCAAGTGCCCATTTAGTATTTTTGAGCTCACAGCCTCGAAGAACAATATTGGAGGATCCAAGTGACAAACGATTTTGTTCAACTTCCATGTTAGCTTGAAACCCATATATGTTCCTATTGGGTTTCTCGCACTTAATCAAACCATTGATTCTCTCTTTCTCAGGCAGCTTTGAAAGGGTCTCCTGCTTTGCATATCGGGTCTTCAAATTTGATTCTCCATCTAGATTTATAGTCTGCACATATGCAACCCCCGTTGGATCACTGGTTGATAGCAACACAATATCACAAGGGATGGTTTCATTTGCATGAATTTTAACAATTTCACCAACTCTAATATCTTTCCATTTCTTCTGTTCAAATCGATCACCAACCAAAACTGAAGCGAACCTGCTGTTCTCGACTTTATCTGATCGATGTCTCCTCCAATCCTCAAACGCATCCTTCACAGCAGTAACGAGCAGAACAAACGCTAAAGGCATGACAGAAACTCCCCTACCAAAAACGGCAAGCTGAGGAAGCTGGTTAAGAATTGCTATTACAAGAAAATAAATATATGCAACTCTATGGAATTGCTCGAATAAATTCCTGGGCAAAAAGGTGAGGATGGAGTATTTCCCAGTACGAATAGAATTTCCTGCGAATTCAAACCGCTCGTTTGTCCTCTCAGGATCGTTTATATAAACCAATCTCGCATCCTCGTCGCTGATTTCCTTCTGCGACATGCTGAATCCTTCAGAATCAGCGCCTTTTGACCCATACCGAACACGCTTAGATCCTGAATGATTGAAAGTCACTTCCCGAACCGAAATCCTGTCGGATCCCCTAGAATGAGTTGAGGAGATGCTTCTTCGAGACGATGATTTCAAAGCAGGGTCGAAATGTGAGGAGTTTCCAGCTTGATTGTTCGAGTCCATGCCAGACTTTGACTTTGATTCAGCTAGATCGAAGGAAGCAGGTACAAAGTGAAGCTCTTGGAATTTAAGAATTTTTCGAAGATGAAATCAGAGCAACCCTCACAGAACCCATAATCCGAAAACCACAGGCCACTGAAGAAGCAGAGATTGAACAACTGACTAACGAATATACAATCAGCACTACTTCTTTTACCCAAAAAAAAAAAAAAAGGCGGCAGCAGCAGCTCACAGAACTTGGAAAACAAACAAACCCAGAAGTACAAATCACCAAAACTACAGAACACGCAATGGAAATTTGGATACGAAATAGGCTCTATCGTGCGCGTGGATGATAACGGAGATATGATAACAACTGGTCAAGAATAGAGAAAAACATTTAAGACAGGGTATCGCAGAGGGAAAAGAAGAAAATTCGAGGGAGGTCAAAGTCATTATAGAAGAATGAGAAGGAGAAGAAGGGCGTGAAGACGAGGACGAGGACGAGGACGACGGCAAATACAAGAAATGAGGAAGAAGTCGTGATGGGTGGCGACAGCGACTAGGAATACAATAGACTAAAGAATAGTTGTTGTTTTTTTTTTTCCCAAGTTTAACGTATGAGAACTTCGGTGCTTGATCGAAAAGTCGTTGTGGCGTTGTTGTGAGAGAGAGAGAGAGAGAGAGAGAGAGGGGAAGCACCATGCATGATGAATGATGAATCCGGAGGGGATGTTTCTAGAAGGAGAGGAGGCTGCGGGTGGTGCGTGAAGACCAGAGGATTTGAATTGTTAGATTGTTATTAATTAACATTCTGAATCTAAATGTGAATGCGAATTTGACTTTGGATGGTTTTTAATTTTTTGTTCTCGGTTTTCCCTCTTTCCAAGCAATAATAATTTTGATAGAAAGATGAACAACTTCAAAGTTCAAACGCAGATATACGGCCGGTCAATAAACCAGAGAGCAGCCTTGCTTATATTCCAATTTCTCACTTTATGAAATATTTTAAAAAAATTAATTTCTTAAAATATAAAATACTTTAATACAAATAATATTTTATTAATGATAATTTTTCATAATACTCTTTCTACATATTTTTTTTAATATTCATTTACATGTGAAGTATTAAATGAAAAGTATTTTTAAAAATTATATTTTTGTTTTAAAAAAATAATATTATAAAATATATTTAACAAATTTTATTCATATATATAATTTTATTAAAAAATATTTTATAAACTGGGATGGATGAAGTATTCTCTTCATTAATACTTGATAGCAGTTTTTTTTATTTATTATTTTTCCCGTTAAATGTGATCTATTATGTGTGTGCCTACGTATACATATGTTATTTTTATTTTCAATTTCATTTACTAGAAAATATTTAAAAAAAATTGTTTCCTTCCTTTTATCGTTAATCGTTTTTTCCAGGATGCTTCCTTCAATAATTAAATTTAGCAAATCCAAGATTTTTCTTTTTTTGGATCGGATCCCTAGTTTTCTGAACCCACCTCACATTAACTAAAAAAAGTTTAGATTAATCTAGAATAAGTTGGAAATTGGAAAGAACCACCAGAGAATGACAAAGCTTTCTTGTCAAGTATTTCATATCTTTGCATTTTTAAAACCTGAGTTAAAATTTTTGATTAAGCTAGTACAATACAATTCTTAGTAATTAAATCAAAAGCTTGATGATACTCCCTCCATTTTTAAATTATAAAATAAATTGTTGTATTTTTTATAAGTAGAACTGCAAAATTTAATAAGCATTTATTATATTTTTCTCAAAAGGTCCCTCATAAAATCAAAGTTTATTCTCAAAAGACAGACATGTTTTATTAAATTACTCTCCTAGATCTTACTCCTTTCTTTTCTATATATAAGATAAAAAAATTATATTACACAGTTTAAAAAAGTTAGTTAATCATAATAATTATGTTTAAAAATAAAAAATTGGATTAAAATATCCTATATTAATCAATATAAGTATGCATTAATTATTTTTCGTTAATGTAAATTATAAGGGGTGATTTAAAAAATATATAATAAATTCTTATTAAAATATATGATTTTGCTTATATAAAAAATATATAAAAAGTGATAGTTTCTTTTACAAATAAAAACGGAATAGTATTTATAAGTTGTTTTGATCATTTTCACTGAAATCAAGAAAAACATTAAACCCTATTGATTATGTTTAAAAAATTAACAAGTTTCAACTCAATCCCTATTAAATATACATACTTTAAACATGTTAACCTCTAGAAGTTCATGTTATTTCATCACATTTTCCTTAGATTCTAGTCCATTTTGGTTTAATTGTATATGTTTTTATTGCCCAAATTAGGAAAATGTACATTTTGTTTTCGGCTTGTGTTCTTAGCTTTAATTTGATATTTTTAGCCTAATTTCATGTTATTTTGATTGAAGTTTTGATAAGAAGCATTTCTGGAGCTTTGTGGATGTTTTTGAAAGGCTTTTGGATGAAGAAATCAAGAGCAAAATGAATGATTTTCGTTAGCTGTAAAAACAGTGTAAAACTGCCGAAGTCGTCCTAAAGTCGTGACTTTCGTTCGCGACTTTCGCCGCTGTCAGAAAAACGCTGCGTTTCATTTATCAGAAATTAGTTGGCTAGGATACATATAAGATGAGAGCTCGACCCAGAACGTACTTTTCAGACTTTTAGACACTTTTAGAGCTTGGTTGTGCTAGGGTTTGGGCATTGGAAGAGTTGGGATCAAGAGATTGAAGTTTTGAAGACATTTGGAGCTCATTTTCTTTGGTTTTTCTATTCCTCTTCCCTTTCCTCTCTTGTAATTTGAAATGGGTCCACTTATTTTGTATATTTGTAGCTTGTGGATGATTATGAGTAGCTAAACCCTTTGTTCTAGGATTATTTAGAACCCTTGTATGGATTAACACTAGATTTCTCCTCTCTTTTTGTGATTAATGATATATATGTGTTTATTTTACTCTTTCCTTAATGCTTCTACTTGATTGGCCACCATTTAGATGTTGGGTTCACTTAATTGATGCTTGAGAGGGCTAGGTTAAGTGTAGAACTTGGGTAAAATTGTGTAAGAACTTGATATTTGCATGTTGAATTGATGGTTTTGCTAGTAAGATAGAGATATACTTGCTAGCCTTGCATAGCCACATTAGGGTTGGTATTTAAAATTGAGTTTTATTAATTGTAACAAGAGATTGGGCAATTAATTTAACTAAACACTTGTTCATGACTTGAGAGAGCTTGTCCAAGTATTTTTAGAACCCTAGGTTAGCACTTATTTTCATTAAAAGCATTTATGAGAGGAGGTAATTTTGGTGTTATGAAATGCAAAGGGGACAATTAATCCTAGGTCTCAATTTGTGTTGGAAGTTTGTGAATCACTCACTTTTCTTTATTTTCTAGTATTAGCTTCATAAGCAAAATCATTTTCACCTAATTATGTGTAGCTCAACTTGATCAAATTTGCTTAGTCTTTTGCTTGATTATTGTTTTTGAACAAATCCTCGAGGGAACGATACTCTACTCATTTTATATTATTTGCTACGACCCGTGCACTTGCGGTGAGCAACAAAACATAAAATACTTTGACATTTAATAACCTTCCAACATTTAATAATGATAAAATTGTAAAGATAGACATAATAATTATTAAAATATTTTATAAATAAAATCAAAACAAAGTTGCCCTCTCTACTGTGTAAATAAGACTATAGAAGTACAAAAATAATTAGATTCAATTTTTTAATTTTAAATATGATTATTATATTTAACCAATTTTTTAAGTTGATTATTTTTTTCCTTGCATTTGAAAACTGATAGAGCAGGATTTTTTTTTTCACCAAAAACACAATGGAATTTATTAAAAGCTTTTGAAACGGTAAGTCAAACATTGGTTATTTGACTTGGGTTAACATAGGTGAATAAAATGGGAGAATTTCAATTAAGAATTATAGGTGAGAGATATTCACTAATGGATTTAAAAAAATTTAAAATTTCACTACAATATTTATAGATTATAAATTAAAATAAAATGAGTCGCTGAAAAGACCAAAACATCATTTTACCAAAAAGAAATAAAGAAAGAAGGAAGGAAAAGTTAATTATTTGGTCCTTATAGTTTTAATCTAATTGTAACTCAATCCCTCAACTTTGACTCATTATAACTTAATCCCTGAAGTTTTGACTTGGTTATAAATCAGTTCCTAAATTTACCTTTTATAATTTAGTCCCTGAAGTTTAACCTCTTAAATTTTGGTCGTTATATTTTAAAAAATAAAATTATAAAAATTTAAAATATTTTAAAATTTATTACTAATATTTTAAATTTTTAAACCTTTTCAATCTTTATAAATATTATAAATTTTAAATTTTAAAATGTTTTAAATTTTTATAATTTTATTTTTTAAAACATAAAGACCAATATTTAAAAGGTTAAAATTTTAGGGATTAAATTGTAAAAGTTAAAGTTCAAGAATTGATTTACAATTAAGTCAAAATTTTAGGAACTAAATTATAATGGGTTAAAGTTGAGGGATTGAGTTATAACTAGGTCAAAATTATGAGAACCAAATTAAATAATTAATTTTTTCAAAAAAAAAGAAATGAACTTGAATGGCTACACAATTATTTCAAGTGTAGCTAGAGTTGGGAATACGGGCAGGTTCGATCCTTAAAGGCCTGACCCTTATGGGCTCGGCTCTTAAGGGCTTAAGCCCTAAAGCCCGATTTTCTATTTTGAACCTCATTTCTCAAGCCCGGCCCTTATGTGAAGGGCTCAGGGTCGGGCCCGCAAGCCCTTTTTAAAAAAAATAAAAAATAAAAAAATAAATATTATAAATTAATTAAAATATTTTAAAATTAAAAAAATAAAATTCTCATAATTTTTTAAAAATTAAACAACACATATTTAGAAGTCTAGTAATAAAATTTAAATGTTGGTTAAAAAATAATTCATTTTTATAAATACACAAATATAATAATTATAGAAAAATAAAAAATATCAGGAATTTTATACTATACATTGATATTTATTAAATTATATTAAATTAATTTTAAAATAAATTAAAATTAATAATAATATAATGTGTATAGGATTAGGTGAGCAGGTCATTAACTTCAAATACGTGTTCTACCAAAGAAAATAATAATATAACAGGATTTGAAGGGCTATCTGAGTACGAGCCCTTTTTTATAAGGCTTATTAGGATCAAACACTCAAATCCGATTACTTTAAAAGAAATTTATTTTTAAAGCCCGAACTTTTATTTAAATAAATTCTTCAAATTTGACCTTCTAAGCTCGGTTTTTATTCTTAACTCTAAGTGTATCTATAGGTCTTCATCGGAGGAATACCTTGTCTCCCCTAAATTGAGCCACAAGGATCCCATCTTTGATATGTTGCACAACAACTTGGTCTTTGAGCCTGAGCCCTTCGATCTTTGGTGTCTCAGTTTTGGACTGGTTACAATATATACTCGCTTTTGACTTTTGACTAATTAGGTGCAATAATTTTTTTTTAATGATTATATTATAGATCAATAGGCTTTAGATTTTCAATGATCCATGGTGCCGAAGGTAATCGGAAG